CAGGATACTGGCAGATTTCCGTCGACAAATTAGACCGTGAAAAGACTGCATTTGTTACACCGGATGGACTTTTCCAGTTTAAGGTAATGCCCTTTGGCTTATGCAATGCTCCCGCTACATTTGAGAGAATGATGGACTCGCTGCTACGGATTACAAATGGTCAACGTGTCTCTGTTATCTCGATGACGTCATTGTACTCTTGCCGTCATTCGAAAGTCACCTTAGCCGTCTGTCAGCTGTTCTGGAAGTTTTCAGAAGGGCAGGCCTTCAGCTCAACTCCTCCAAATGCCGTTTCGGCTGCCAAACAATCACTGTGCTAGGCCATTTTGTCAGCGCTAAAGGCGTGCAACCCGATCCCGATAAAATTCGCGTCGTTCCCTACACCACGTTCCACGAAAAATGTACGGAGCTTTGTCGCCCTCTGTTCTTATTTCCGGCGTTTCGTCCACAACTTCGCCGACATTGCCCATCCTTTGACACAGCTACTGAAGAAGGACACGCCGTTTTCTTGGGGTCCCCAGCAAGCCGATTCGTTTCGCCGACTTACTGCGTTGTTCACTTCTCCGCTCATCTCAGGTCCTTTCGATCCTTCAGCGCCCACTGAAGTTCGCACCGACGCCAGCGGGCATGGTATTGGCGCTGTCCTCGCCCAGCGGCAACAGGGTCAAAATCGTGTAATCGCTTATACGCAAGTTGCCTCCTTTCCCCATCCGAGTGCAAGTTTCCCATCACTGAGCTGAGCGCGAGTGTCTCGCTCTTGTATGGGCAGTTGGAAAAGTCATACCATACTTGTTCGGTCGCCACTTTTCGGTCATCACGGATCACCACGCCCTGTGCTGGTTGTCCTCCCTCATAGATCCTTCTGGACGCCTGGGTCGTTGGGTTCAAAAGCTACAGGAATATAGCTTTGACGTGACCTACAGGTCTAGCCGAGTGCACCAGGATGCCGACTGTATCTCGCCATCCCGTCGATCCCCCTGACCTGTCAGCGCACGATTCTGATGCCTGTGTCTTAGCCATTTCTGATTTCACGGACATACGTAGGGAACAACTCAGTAATACCTATTTGCGGTCTATCATACGCCGTCTAGCTTCTGACATCTCGGATCCCTCCTTTCGCCTGTTCACGCTTCATAACGGAATTCTCTATCGTCGCAACACAAGCATGCACCGAGGACCCAGAACTTCTCCTGGCAGTTCCTGCAACACTCCGTTCCACTGTGCTTGAACAACTTCATGATGTCCCGACTGCTGGACATCTCGGAGCAGCCCACACGTATTACCACGTGCGGTGTCGATTCTTCTGGCCCGGCCTTTACAGATCTGTGCGCCAATACGTTGCATCTTGTGAGTCTTGCCAGCGCCGCAAGCATCCTTCATTTGCACCACCTGGTCCACCTCAACCTATCGATATTCCAACAGACTAGTTCTACCATTTTCAACGTCTCTGAGAATAAATGGGTAATGGTAACTACAGACAACGTGACACGCTTTGCCATCACGCGAGCGCTACCAACAAGCTGTGCTACTGGTGTCGCGGACTTTCTCCTTCATGACGTTATTCTCCACCATGGAGCGCCGCGTCAACTGCTCACCGACCGTGGTTGTTCATTTCTCTTCAATGTCGTGGACGACATTCTTCGGTCGTGTTCCACACGTCATAAACTCACCACTGCCTACCACCCGCAAACAAATGGACTCACTGAGCGCCTTAACCACACACTGACAACAATGCTATCCATGAATGTGTCCGCAGATCATCGTGATTGGGATGCCACTTTGCCTTACGTGACGTTTGCCTACAACTCGTCACGACACGACACCGCTGGCTTTTCTCCCTTCTATATCTTGTACGGCCGTCACACCACTTTCTTCTGCCGTCGCATACTGACACTCCTACCGAGTACGCTCGCGATGCAACTACTCGGGCTCGAGCGGCCCGCTAGATTGCCCGGGATCGCCTTTCTGCTTCGCAGATATCTCAAAAAGACCGCTACGACAGCCGTCACAGAGCTGTCTCTTACTCCCCAGGAACGTTGGTCTTTCTCTAGACTCCCTCTCGTCACGTTGGCCTGTCCTCGAAGTTCCCCGCTCGCTACAACGGGCCTTACAAAGTCTTGCGCCAACTGACTGAGGTCACCTATGAGATCGCCCCCTTGGACACTCCATCCTCATCGTATCTGCCGTCTACTGATATTGTACACGTCTCCCGCCTTAAGCCGTACGTCTCTGCGCGGGATTGCACGCTTTCTTAAGCGCCGAGACGGCGCCTTCACCGGCGGCGGCTATATGATACAAGTCATCATTAACATCAACGAATGCACCATAAAGGTGACGAAGATGACAATTGAACAAAAGCTCGTGTTGTTGTTGCCACTCCGCCATATTGGTTCAAGGACATTGTGTACTCCGTGTACAATCTGTAAATATATTTCTACCCTCTGCCTACTCTCACCTCGTGACAATATATCGTGGCTTTGGCGCTAAGCTCCATAAACTTCTGGGCACACGGACTGTGTTTACGCCGTTGCAGTGTCGTTCCGCGTACGGAAGCATGCTTTACTCTCTTGTCATAGAGTGCAACAACGCACAAGGGACAGCTTTCAGCTCTCCCATAGTAGAGTACCCTGTGCTCTAAATCGTTACCCCCTTTTTCTAACCCCCCCCCCCCCCCCGAGGCGCATGCACGGCTCAGCCTGTCCAGTTCGCTCAGCACGTGCACCGCGCATGACGTCATGTCAAACCCGTGGCCTCCTGCTGAATTCGTGAAGAATATGAGCAGCACCACAGCACACGAGTAAGCGAGTTGGGCAGGTCCAGCCCCCCCCCCCCCCATTTTTTAAAATTTTGTCTAAATATAGAAGCATGCTCACGAACTAACGCACTAACATACTAAAGCATAATTGCAGTACCCGCCCTCCCCCACCCTGAAAGAAAGTTTGGTCTAAGCATAGTGGCAAGTGCCAAAGCGGTATTGTTGCAATGATCTACTTTGCCATGACCTGGCTCGCTTGGCGTCATGAGTCGTGACACAACTGCCTTCTTAGTCGGCTGCTATGGGTTCGTGCCGAGAAGGCACCCAAAGTTAGTGGTCACGTGATTGAGTACACGCTGCGTGGTGATAGTGATTTGCGGGTGCTGTTATGTCCCTGAATCTATCGAAAAAGAAAAAGAGTGGTGAAAGCTGGCGGTTCCGTGCGTATATTGTCTTCTCGACCGTTTCATGCTCGACGTCCTGTGTTTTGGACTCTGTCGAATCGTGAAGTGTGTGGCAGCACGGGACTTCCGCTTTGGGGAAAGTGCGCGTTCGTTGCTTCCGGCATGGGCGTCAACAGGGGGCCGCAAGTGGCACACCAGCACTTGAGCTGCATCAGCGCCACCACCAATTGCGAGAAGTAATACTAGGACGACGGAGGCTGACACGGTGTGCCTTGTACAGGCCTTTTTTTTCAGTCGGGTCACCTTCGCTCTCCCATTCCAAGCAACACGCAATGACCGAAATAAACCAGATTTACAAGCTCATAAGAATAGCGTACAAAGCTGCTCTGTGACTTCCGAACAGCACGAGTACAGAAAAACTCGTGGCAATCGTCATACATAATACATATGAAGAACTGACTGCCGCCGCTAATCGCGTTAATAGAACGACTCACCACCACACAACTGGGACGAAAGCTGCTTCAGAAGCTAGGATACCCCATCTACGCTCAATTTTGTGGCGACCGGACCGTAATTGCACCCCTGCAAATACCGGAACAAATTATTGTGGAACCAGCTACGAAGAACATGCGCCTGCTCTACAACAAAAAAACACTGTCAAGCGCGTGCACGGAAACTCCTTCAGAGAGCTCATGACCCTGACACCTACCTTATATACCGACGTGAGTTTTTACGCCATCATATCTCAAGGCCCCAGAAAACAGGCATAAGTAGTGGCGGTGACTGGCCGAAACAAAGTCGTGGGCTGCGCGTCTACATGCACGAGATCCAGCGCCACCACAGAAGCATCAGCCATTATACCTTGGCAATCAGAAAGGCAGAAAGGAGAGGACGCTCAGCGTATATTTTGACAGACTCACGAGCTGCCTGTCGTCTATATCTCAAAGGCACGCTTCCCGGATGTGTCATTGATATTTTGGGGCCCACGCTGACGAATGCACGTGGCGTTGCTTGGTGCACAGGGCGTGCGGGCCTGAGGGGGAAAGTGGAGGCAAACTACATATACCTCGCGGGCTTACTGGCCGAGACGCGGGACCTTCCCCAGGGCACCTCTCAGGCCCCCATGAAGAACGCAACACAACAAGTAGGCAGATCTTGAAAAACCAACGCCTTACAAGACGGAAGTACGCCCCTCCGCACCCAAACTTGAGCAGCCAGGAAGCCAGGGACCGACGCCGCGTTCAAACAAACACATACCCTTCACATATCAAGACTATTTTTACTCAGCTATACACAACAGGTATGTGTCCCTGATGTAGCGACCACACAGCCACACGTCACTTACCTACACAGAGCGACCGGCCCAGGCACTATTTATGCTGGCGCCTTCACGCGAAACGCTACCAACGTAGTCTTGGGAGGCACGGCTTTCCGAGCTGGCACTCGGGAGCCAACTGTGACCCTAGACCAGGCCCGGCAAGCCGCCGCGGCCAGTGGGACTCTACAAAAGGGCTCCCAACCGGGATTAAACCACGCACTGTCCCAGTGAAATAAAGTTTATTCTCTCTCTCTCTCTTATCCCCGCCGTGATGCAACACGGCTTGCACTCCCTAAGGCAAAATCCTGACGACGCGCTTATGGCTCTAGCACCTGTAGGCGGCGCTGTGACAGTTGTGCACACTATTCTTCACCCGGTTTGTTTATTCGCATTACGTCTCGTTTGCTCGTTCGCTTTCAAGAGGTGCTGAAATTTAAGGCATCGGGGCACCGCGATGGCACGCCGACAGTCCGCCACCAAACTGTTTGCGCCACCGAAGATGTAAGACACCGGAGATTTCAGCTCATTTGTTCTCAGCGTAAAAGAATGCGCCCGCTACCGCCAATTTGGTTTTCAATTTCCTGCCGAATGTAGAGAGTTTGTAGCCGCGCCTGTCACTGGGCGCCATGTCGGCCTTGCTCAGAATCTGGCCGTCCTGACAGTAGACCAGCAACACGTAACGATGGGGTCCCGACCCTCGGGGAGGCTTCGGGCCCCTGTACGACACGGCCTCGTCACCCTCGTGAAACTTTTCGTCACTGTTTGCGTTGAGCACCATCCAGTGGACGGTGCTGACGCTTGGCTTTGTCGGTTGCTTCCTGCTGGGCGCGTCCGGGTCAACCATGAGCAGCGAAAACGGAGGACCGCACCTGTGAAGGAGGAGGAAAAACATGAATTGGACGCCATAGGTCTTTTATGTGGGGCCGCGTATGTCCTGTGGGCCCTGCAACACTTCACTTCTTCAAGTAGCGGCGGAGTGGATTCACTAAAGGATCTTACTGCTTCACAAACTCACCGCCATGATTTTGAAAGGATCCGCCCAGTACGAACGGAGTTATAAAGATTCATCGCACACTGCGATTGCATTCTCTCGTCCCGGCAAAAGCGTTAGAAATTAGGCAGGACGGGAAGGCATGGGGAAGCAAAATATGTCACGTGCGCCTGCTAACCTTGAGCACTTTGCAGTTCTTTTTTTCAAATACGTGGCCTTTAATTCAGTGCATTCACGCTTTCACAAGTCGCGGCCTTCTGCGGCGGCCCCGGTAACGAGCGAGTGCACCATGCTCGAGTCAGCCAACGGTAGATACAATGGCTGTGACGAGTGATTTTCAAGCTTGTAGCGTCATTTGTCGAGATAAGAGAATGCAGTTTTCAGTGGACTCTTGAGAATTGTGAATAGTAGGCCGCGTGCTGCGCTGTAATATTTGACTCGCTCGTCCTCAGAAGCCTCGACTATCGATCGCCAACGTTTTCTGACCATGCTCAAAAAGTGTTGCAGGGCCCCTTTAACAAGAGAGCATGCTATAATCTGAAAGCATAGCCAAATGGTTTTTTTCCCCAACCAGCTATTGTATCCAAAAATTTACTCAGATAATTCAACCACACTTCCGGCATTTCAACTAACGTTTACTACTCGGTTCGGAATAACGCAATAACTTGTGTTGCTGTATAGAAGTAGTTATTGAAACATTGAATTCAACTGTATGTGAGTCACCCACAATCTCATTTTTTTTTTGCAAGGGGAGCCCACTTTAAAAGGCAATACTGCAGCTTCCTCCCACGAGACGTGGGCGTCGCTTCTGTCTGTAGCTGACTACCTTATTAAGGCAGAAGTGATTAACTGGGTAGAAATGGTCGGGGCGAAGTACTTGCACCATTCTTCGAGTCAACGGCAAGCTATAGTGTCCGAGAAAATACTGTTGGCAAGGCGGTCAGGAGACATTGAGCCCTGGTGGTTGCCTCTGCCCGCTCTGTGACCACGAATTGTTTTCTTGTTGTTTTTTTCTTTTTTTTTGGGGGGGGGGGGGGGGAGTCAGAGCTGGGCAGCGGGACCTGCCACTTTTGAGGGTAACGATATCCACAACCTGGGGAAGACTGAGTTGCTGCGCTTTAGGGCAGCTTCAGAGGTTGGGGTAGGGATTCGCGTTCTTTCTGGCAGAGTTTAGTTTGAGAAAACTGCATCTAAATGCTAACGCACCTCAAGTAGCCCCTCAGCTTGACCGTCGGGGCGTTGGAGGTCTGCGCGGGCGTGTACGTCTGGTTGAGTTCCGAGATCAGTAGGTTGCCATATTGGACGTCCAGCAGGGCGTGCGGCGCGTCGTCCATGCCCAGGTCTGTTACGATCCCGGAGTCCCTCCACAAGAAGAGGTCGGGCAGCGTTATGCCTCCCGACATTGGCTCGACCTTCGTTTTGGATCCGGAACCGCCGACGGAGGAGCCTTCCTTAGCCGTTTCTTGGATGCTGGGCTGCCATGTGGTTGTGACGACCAGCAGGAAAAGCAGAGTGGAGGGCTTGGCGAGCGTCATTGTAATCGGCGAGGCGTCCGCGACGTCCTCTCGCTAGACGAGGAAGACTTGCACTGCCGTTGCTGAAACAATGGCGCTCGATGGAAGGAGCACGCGCATAGGTGTTATACACGAGCTGCGAGAAACGCGAGACGGTGCGGATCGGTTGCGGGGAAATCGTGCATATCGTACTGCCTGTCCTTCCTGTCGTGGTAGCGATTGTCACGGAGCCTGAAACGATATCTTACCTGGTATCGGTATTGCAGGAATGACATTTTTCTTTGTCCGCCTTGCTGCACGTCCGCACTGGAGCGAAGAGAGACGTGAAATGAAGAAAAGAAAAAAGAAGGCAGGGAAGGTAACTTGAATTCCTTCATTTTGCTATTCTGCATGGGGACAAGAAAACGGCCACAACACTAGTGTCGTTAATGTACAATGATGCTAATTGCACTATACTGTGTCCAAGAATTTATTCGACATTCTAATTTCTCGAGGGGCCCGGGCTAGCAATGGTACGTGCGATTGTGCTTGTATGTGTGTTAAGGGTAGGCGAGGGGGGCGAGAGAGGCTGTGATGAGCTATGCATAGAGAGATGTATTTTAACCCCTTTCCAAAATTAAAAAAAATAAACGTCTGGCTGCATCTCTGATATTATGGCTCATATTCAGTAACTCTAGGTAACACGTAGACGTGGGCTGACATTGCTGCTGTATATATACGACACCGGAATTTTCCATGCCCGCAACTGTAAACACGTAACTGTACACTAGCCCACCCATCCTCTGGTCGGTGATCGTCGTCGAGGAAATAGGAGATGATGCTAGTCCTGGTGGTGTTGCTAGACACTTTCATTTCTTCGTTCTGCTGTGTTCCGGCATGCGCGCGTACTCTACCACAATGCGATATAGCCAATTTCCGTGCAAGTGAAAAATCAAGGTTAATAATGAAAAATAAATCAAGTGCGCGACAGGTTATCAAACATTTTTTATGCATATATGGCAGTGAACAGCAAGCCAAAGGAGATAGTGGTGAAATTCTGGCAGGTTTTCTGTGTGCAAAAGCTTGGCTATCACCAAGACACAGGAATTTTAATTATGCGCCATGAAAATGAGCAAAGCTCGTTGCTTGGTGCATCCACGCGAACCTTTGCGTCATACGACGATGGCTGTGGGCCGAGTATATATTTATTGACTTGTAAAACATTAACTCCCCCTAGCAAAAAGCCACAAGCAAACAACCCACACGCACTTTTCAGAAAGTTCTTTTGTTGAAAAATACGTCCTGGTCTGGGGATTGAAAAAAAACAATTCATATATACTAACGCCTTTTTAATGCTGGTAATACGTATGGTTTTCCATGTGGCTTCGTGCTACAAACCAATGCTCGTCAACTGTCTCTTTCTAGAGTTACAGTATCTCATAACTCAAGTCACCTTGCGGTAATCCTCAAAACTAATCTGCGATGCCACCTTACATTTAGCATTGCTTGCGCAACCAAGGCCACGTACAATAATCTCCAGTGTATTACGACGCCTCGCTCCTGCTTCACTGAATGTTTCGACAGCTCAAAACGCGGAGGACGTTTGAGCGTTGCCGTCAAGTGTACAATGCGACAGCGTAATCAGGCCCCATTCACATCTTGTTCTTAACTGTTAGCCTACCTCGCTTCGCTTCTATACGTGGGCACCTCAACTAGAGTGATCTAGCATAGGTCTTAAAGGGACACTAAAGTCACATAACAATTTACGTCAGAGTGAAAGCTCAATGTATGACATCTAAAATGACAATATTACCAACAACAGTGCCCCACATACCGAGAAATTAAGGTGAATACACAAGAACACAAGTGCTGCACTAGGACATTTTCAAAATGATCCCGATGACATCAGATGGACCGCCTACAATTAATCACTAGTAAGCGATCTAACTGCACTAAATGAAGAACCTTACGTGCATCAAGAGACGCAATAAAATGCTGCTTGTTCGTTTCTGTTTGATTCACGAAAAAAAAAAAACCCGCCGGACGTTACTATGGGTAAAGGCGCGAGTGGTCTGAGGGGGAACGGGCCTGAGGGGGAACGAGGGGGCAAACGGCGTAGCTCGCGGACTTACTGGCCGAGACGCAGGACCTTCATCAGGGCACCTCTCAGGCCCCCATGAAGAACACAACATAACAAGTAGGCAGACCTTGAAAAACCAACGCCTTGAACATGGAAGTACGGCCCTCCGCACCCAAACTTGAGCAACCAGCAAGCGAGGGACTGGTGCCGCCTTCAAACAAACACATACCCACACATATCAAGACTACGCGCTATTTTTCCTCAGCTATACACAACAGGGATGTGTCCCTGGTGTAGTGACCACACAGCCACACGTCACCTACCAATGTACAGAGCGACCGGCCCAGGCAGTACTGAGCAACGTTTTTAGAACAATTGTTGTACTGAGGCTGGCGCGTTCACGCCAAACGCCAACAACGTAGTCTTGGGAGGCACGCCTTTCCGATCTGGCACTCGGGAGCCAACTGTGACCCTAGACCAGGCCCGGCAAGCCGCCGCGGCCAGTGGGACTCTACAAGAGGGCTCCCAACGAGGATTAAACCACGCACTGTCCCACTGAAATAAAGTTGATTCTCTCTCTCTCTCTTCAGCACGATCCTTATTCCTAAGCCAGGAAAGCCCCCTAACTTGGACAACATGAGGCCAATATCCTTGACATCATGTATCGGCAAGGTCGCAGAACATGCCATACTGCACAGGATAAACAAGTACTTGGAAGATAACAACATATATACACACAATATGGTTGGATTCAGGGCAGGGCTATCCACACAAGATGCATTGAAGCTTATCAAACACCAGATCATTGACAATGAAACCAGAGACGTGAGAGCCATTCTGTGCCTAGATCTAGAAAAAGCGTTTGACAACATCCACCATTCATTCATACTCGAAGCAATTTCCAAGCTTGGTCTAGGGAAAGCCTTCTATGACTACGTATGGTCCTTTCTTACAGATCGGAAAGCCGTGATGAAGATTGCAGATATCGAGACCGCAGAAATCGAACTAGAAGCAAGGGGCACGCCACAAGGGGCAGTGATTTCACCAATGCTGTTTAACATTGCCATGATTGGACTGTCAAAGAAATTATCGAGCATTGAAGGATTGAAGCACAGCATCTACGCAGATGACATTACCATCTGGTGCACAGGTGGAAGCGAGGGGCAGATTGAGAGCGCTCTGCAAGAGGCGATTGACACCGTAGAAGACTACCTTCGCCCTTCCGGGCTCAAGTGCTCCTCGAGTAAGTCAGAACTTTTGCTTTATCGGACTGCACGCCGGGGACCAAAGCCCAGGGGATGGAAGCCGTTAAACCAGATAGACATCCATCTCCGTACAAATCAAGGGGATGCCATCCAGAGGGTCGACTCCATCAAAGTCCTGGGAATGCTGATAGAGTCTACCGGCGCCAACAGCAAATCTATAGCCAAGTTAACTCGGAAAACAGACAGTGCGGTGCACCTCATACGCAGAGTGGCCAACAAAAGAAATGGGATCAAGGAAGACAACCTCATCAGGTTGATGCATGCGTTTGTTCTAAGTCACTTCACATACGAGGCAGCAATGCACAACTGGTCAAGAGCAGAGTCCGAGACACTGAATGTGCTCCTCAGGAAAGTTATCAAGAAGGTCCTGGGCCTACCCATACATACCAGCACCGAGCGTCTGCTTGAGCTTGGCATACACAACACGCTCGAAGAAATAGCAGAAGCCCAAGAGAGAGCACAGTTTGCAAGGTTATCTACTACAAGGTCGGGGAGAATGATCCTGCAGGAGCTGGGCCAAAACCCAATAGCAATCAGACGCAATTACAATGATATCCCTGACAACATCAGGGAGACTATCACGGTATCTCCTATACCGAGAAACATGCATCCAGAACACAACGTCGGAAGAAGAGTAGCGAGGGCCAGGACTATACTTCGTCAAGTCTCAAACGAGGAACGAGGGGTCGCATTTGTTGACGCGTCTTCCTACGCCAATGGGAAAGCGTTTGTGGCAGTGGTAGTCGATGGGGCTGGCCATGTCGTCAACTCAGCGACGGTCAGGACGAAAGACCCAATCATTGCGGAACAAGTGGCCATCGCCTTAGCACTCAAGATGGATAACATTGAAGTGGTCTACAGTGATTCCATGGCAGCACTACGGGCGTTCGCCAAGGGGACGGTCTGTGAACAAACGCTAAAAATACTGCAAGGCAAGAACATAACACATCATCTTCTGAGTTGGTTTCCAGCTCACCTTGGACAAATCAACGATTCCCCTCCCAATCTCAACGAAGCAGCACACGAGGCGGCGCGAGAACTCTCCAACCGCGCCTCCCCGGGGATGCGTTCTAGCGGTGAAGGGGATAACCGGGAAATTCTTACAACATATAACGAGCTCACTAAACATTTCTACCTGTCTAGAAGGATTTTTCCTCCACCTCACAAAAATCTAACCCGGCCCCAAGCACTTACATTAAGGCTTTTGCAAACGCGGATGTACCCTACTTTGAAAATGTTACACATCATGTACCCTGACCTATATCCAAGTAATCTTTGTCCACATTGTGGGGAAATAGCTTCATTAGAACACATGCTCTGGCAGTGCACCAAATTCGCTCATTTATCGCACATCACCTCTGCCAGATGGGAGGCGGCAATCCGCAGCTCATCCTTGGCAGATCAGCTCTGGGCTGTCCACCAAGCCCGCGAGGCGGCTGAGGAGCTTGGCATCTCAGTCCCCACGTGGGAGCTGCCCGCAACACAGTGATCTGTGTTTTGGAGGACCAGATAAAAGTTTATCCAATCCAATCCAATCTCTCTCTCTTATCCCCGCCGTGATGCAACCCGGCTTGAACTCCCTAAGGCAAAATCCTGACGACGCTCATGGCTGTAGCACCTGTAGTCGGCGCTGCGACAGTTGTGCAGACTATTCTTCATCCGGTTTGTTTATTCGCATTACACGTCTCATTTGCTCG